CTTATATGTTTTAGCCTCCAGTCCCCTAATCGTCTTTGTTGCTCTTCTCTGTACTCTTTCTAGAGTCTCAACATCTTTTTTACATCGTGGTGATAACCATACACAGTAATCCAAATATGAAGAAACTAAGTAACCAAGGCATGACACAAATGACATTTCCAAGTATAGAAATAGCTGGTGTGATAATAAAATAACCTATGTTTAGAGAATGAGATGATGGAAGATCATGTTGTATGCCGGTTGTGCCCTTTCTAGACTGTGAGGCCCTGCTCTCAGTCCTGGATCATCATGCACTTGGACTATTGCAATGTATTCTACACGGGGCTACCCTTGAAGAGCATTCTGAAGCTACAGTTGGCATAGCATGCAGCAGCACAGTCTTAGGGGCCCCTAAAGTGACCCATGTAACACCACTGTTACATGAACTGCACTGATTGCCAGTTTGCTTCCAGGTTCAAGGTGTTGGTTATTACCTTTAAAACCTTTATGGCATGAATCCATTGGCCAGCCCCACTCTCTCCGGCAGAAGGGGCATGCTCCAGATCCCATCGGCCAAGAAATGGCAACTGGTGGGATCCAGGAGAGCAAAGGGCTCCCACCCTGAGGTGAGATCTCCCCCCAGCTTCTTGGTTTTCTGAAAGGCCCCAAAACCTGGCTCTGCCAACTGGCTTGGGACCTCAATTGGGGTATCCATTTTGGAGGTGGCCAGTAGATTAGGAGAAGATCCCACTCTAAAGAGTCGATTTACTGATTCTTTTCATCCACTTTGTTCTCAATTTTAACATTTTAACTTTCAATGCCTAATGTTTTAATCTTTCAAACTATATAATTGTTTTATACTTTTATTTATGGCATTGTAAGCTACCCTGAATTCTTAGTGAGATGGGCAGCGTATAAATTTAATAAATAAAGATATTGCAGGAGGAAGGAGACTTGCCTTCACCACAAACCCAAATGAATCCCTTTCTGCAGAATCAGGAGCTCAACCCATCTATTGCCTTCTGACCTTCTGGAGGTTGCACTGCTCCCTTTCGACCCAAAAATTCCAGCCTGAAAGGAACTCTGCAGACAATGGCCCCGAAGCAGACTAATAGCATATGAGGCATATCAGATTCTTCTAACTAATCACAAGAGTAACCTGAAACCCTTTTTTGGTCCCAGCACATATTGGGTTTTGGCTGAAGCAACTTTTGAGCTAGCTTTTTTTAATCCTTGCCTTTGCTGACCCTCAGGCAACAGAGCAACACCTTGTTTTACTCTAGATCTGCAGTGTTGCTGCCCATATTCTGATCATGTCACCCGCCCTGCTAGAATCTGACCCCTTGCCTCAGTCACCTCAAACTGAAATACCCTCCTATAGCCTGGCAGTTTTCTTTGCTGGTGCCCTGTCTTGGGAAATCCTTCTCCAGATTAGCTTGCCTGATGATGGCCAAACCCATGAGGGCTGAGGGTAGAATAAGGAAATGAACTATAAAAGAATTAGTGAGCTCTCAGAGACACCTTTCAAAAGGATGAGGAAGAGGAAGATGGGAAAGTGACAGAGTGAACTTACCGTTGCACTTCCTTATTTTTCCACAAGGAGGCAGACTGAGCCTTTGGCACTCGCTCTATAAAGTTGACCAATTCCTCCATAAGAAGCCTGAAAACAGAAAAGGGCAGCTGAAGGCCTCAAAATGAAAACACAGCAGGTTGAACTGACACACTAGAATAAGTTTCTAGGGATATTCCAAACAGCTGTATCATGCATGGTTTGATTTCTCAAACTGGACCAATTCTTTATGTTTGATTGCTTCTCCAAATGAAACATTCTTAACAGAGTGGATGAATATTTACCCTAATTGATCACTGAACGCAAGGCAGCTGGGTGATACTGCTGCAACAGAGGCAAATATGATTTTAGACTGTGTGACAATATTAATTTAGTTAAAATAATTACAAGTTATCTCCCCAGGTAAATTTTGTCAGGTATTCCATTTCAGGTTTTCATAGCAGCTACACTGTGGTTTGTTTCATTAAGCTTTACTGTCATCACCCTGGCACATTGGTTACAGAATTCATCTGTTGTAGAAAAGGGAGCAGAGGTTGCCAGGAATAGGAGATCTCAGATGACCATTGAAGGGTCAGAGTCTAATTCTTTACCTGTTTCCTTCATTGATTAAATTAAGTGGAACTACTCCCATGGAACCATTGATGGATGCCAATGTTGATCTGAATGTCAAATCACTACCCAACCATCAACACTGTGACAGTACCAGTAAATTGGTCAATACAAAGTCCAGATGTGAAAAATGATCCTATCCTGAAACACTCTCTTAGAATAGATGAACTGGTGAGAGTACCACCTAGGCATCAGTATTACTTTTTTTTTAATGTCAATAGTTTTTGTCCGCTGTAGCATGGTTTTTGCACTATTCATTCAACTTTATAATTCTATAAAGTTAGTCTTTATTTTGTCACATCCCAAATTCAAGTTTAGAATCAAAAAGTTGTTGATCACTTTTTCTGAATCCTAGAAGTGACACAGAATATAGGCAGCACCTGTTTTTTCTTCTCTTGAATCAACTAATTGCTGCATTTGCTCACAGATCACATGTGCATCTGACCAGCACATATTCATCTTGATACATGCAAAATCCTATAATAATAACAATAATAAAAGTTTATAATTTACAATTGAAAGTAAATATCTCAGCTATAGTTCCTTGAGCTAAGAGAAGCAGTTACCCACTGAATCACGTGCCAGAAAGTAGGGTGGGACATAGGCAAAAACATTTTTTAATTTCTATGTAAATATACTTGAAATTGTGATACTTAAAAAGTTCTATTTCCCATATTTTAATTTATTCCCATATATAATTTGGCAGCAAATTTTGAAGAAGCTCAGGGTCACCTACAATTCTGAGTGTCACATCTGCACTTCTTATAGACATAATATTGAGTTAGGTAATATCCTAACTCAATTAGAACCCAAAGTAAACAAGAAAGCATTTAGTAACCGCTCTAAAGCCCTTAATAATGGGTCCATTCTTGCAAAATCGCAAGGGATAACATTTCTACATTATTCTGTTTGTGTCTGACTTCATTTAGTGTCCTTTCTCTAGTTTAGATGTAGAGTTAAAAGGTGGGTGGTTTCAAAAGATGCCCAAAGTGGTGAACCACATGGAAAATAAATCCTATGTGGAAAAGCTGAAATACATTAGAAGCAAAATATCAGATTGGAAATATGATACAGATCAAATATGTAGAAGGCAGACTTCACAGGGCCGTACTAGCTTGAACAGTTAAATCAGAAGATAACAAAAGATAGATTTTGGTTAAACATTAAGTTAAATAATCTGATGACAAATACATTACCAAAGAAAAAAATAAAAAGGAACCAGATAAATATTCTCCCATTCTACTAGAGTTCTTTAAGTATGGGGAGACTGAGCCTATGGACTTCCTATAAAGAATGGGACTCTAAGGCTTATAAGCCCCTCTCCAGCTGTAACAGTTTATGATTCAAGCTCAGTGAGGGCTAGGCAGCCCTCCCTCTTGGACCCAGTAATAATCTTTAGCAACTTGCAAAATTTGGGAACTGTTAAGAGAGATTCTTTTTGGTTCCTTTTTCATTACAGGGCTAGGGCTCTAATCTTCATGGCTACCTTTCTTCAGTACTGCAATACTCATATAACTTTGCCAAATGCACAAGTCTGAACTGATTTTCAATATTTGGGAAACAAGGACTGTGCACATGCTTAGAGTTTCAAAGACTTCTTTGGCTTACTTTCAACCAGTGGTGGGATTCAAACATGTGAACAACCGGTTCTCTGTGTGGATGCTGCTTCCGGAAGTCCATTCTGGGCCTGGGCAACAAAAGAAATTAGCTACCGGTTCTGCCAAAGTGGTGCAAACTGGCTGAATCCCACCACTGCTTTCAACCCAGTTAAATGTTCCTCAGGTTCATGAGAAGCAATGTTTTTATGCTGTCCGTTACTCCTTCTCTTCCCCTTTGCCACTTCTTTCAGCAGTGGAAGAAAAGGGATTAGATAACACTGCCTTAAGTAGATTTTCCTTACCTGCCAATCTGCACTGTTGGCTCAGTGGCATACACAGTTCCAGTGAACCCAGTGTGTTCTGTGATGTAGGGCAAGGCCATCATGCAGTGGTAATTGGAGATCAGGATCACATCCACTGTAGACAGGTCAATCAGTTCCATCTGAAAATATGACCCAGAAATACACACCACCAGCCCAAGCAATGCTTGGATTAATGAAATCTTGCCCACCATTCATCTGAGAGTTCTAATATGGACAGAACATGCCTTTAAATTATTGTTAGTTCCTACTTATATAACAGACTGTTCTATATAAAGAGTGAAGAATTATCTGGCTCTTTACCTTAATTTTATTTATATATAGCTTGGATCTCCAATATGATGCTTGAGGAGCCAGTGAGCCTTCATACACCTCCCTTGCTGTCCAACGGGTTCCTGACCCCACTTGACATTTTCATTAAAAAAAATATTTAAAACCGGAACTTGGCATCTTACTGCCAGTCTGAGTATCCTTTTTATTTCTACGAATGCCTTGCAGACACCAAGAGTTCTCCTCCTTTTAGAAACTAAATCACTCTCCATCAACCCAACCTCAGGAAATGCTGTAGGTCTACATTTTGAATGGAAGGAAGACCTTCTGCCCAGAAAAAAAAAGAAATGTAGGAAGGAATAAATACATAGCACCTTGCTGGAAGAGAGATTAGGAAAAATTGCAGTTCCAATTTAGGGAGTCATGGCTTTGTAATGCGCAAACGTCCCTTCCAGCAGCTATTTTGCAAGAACATTCCACACCATGTGACCCCAATTCCAAATGTGCCTAATAGTTCGAAAGAGTAGACAACCCCTGATATACATTTTTTTTTGTGCTGCCCAGTAACTGGGTTTTTGAGTGGCCTGCAACAATACAACAAAGGACAATAATATACCTATAATTAATAAAAGAAAAAAGTGATTTTCTTATAAAAAACCAAATAGCTACAAATGAAACATTTCATTACTAAAGTCAGGTAGAAAATTCAGTTCCATGGAACTGAAAAGCCTACACGTACAAATGTGTACAAAAGTACACACATGTGTTGCCATTTGAAAGATAAAGAAGGCATCAAATAGGTGTCTCTTTAATGTCAGTTTTCTAACTGATGATGGCACCAACTGAAATACTCTGAAGAAATTACAGCTGCTGTGTGTTATAGGTGAAATTATTGACTTTCTGAATAATAATATGCTGAATAAAAAGTATCCAGCCTACCTATCGTTTAATTTTGTTGGCAGAAATTCTAACAGCATGGATAATCCATTCTCCAGAAAGTTGCGAAGTTGAATACTTGTCGCCTTTGAGACCTTTGAATGGCATGCATGAATGCCCAGGCCAGAACAACCCAGGGCAAAAAGTAGTTTTAATTTAAAATTATGTGATAATTTATTTAAATATGGCACATGTTCACTTAATTAACTATAGCAAATACCGATAACTTCATGTACTTGGTAATTTCCACATTTGTATGTGTACGTGTATATATGTGCGTAAACATACAATACACACACGCACACAGAGGCATATACAGACACTTTTCTGAAGAATGATGGTAATTTAGAGTCCATTCAAGTTTGATCTCAAAGTCTTAGACTTAGCCAATTTCAGAGGTTGCACTCACATTAGAACTGGTCAGTGCTTTGTATTCAAGGGGAAACGGCGTTCTGAAGGGCATGGGGTGGGTGGGTGGTAATGTAGGACCTCTCAGCAACTGCTGAAACCAAACACCTCTAAGGTGAGTCTATTCAAGGAGTTCCTAATAAGTGGAGTAGGAATCCCCAAGCCACGTGGTCGAAAAAAAGGCAGTGCCCTTCCATTTGCTGGATTATAATTATAAAAAATAATTCCATATTGAAGGAAAAGTAGAAAATCCTCAGAAAATGAAGATGCAACTGAAAGGTTGAACTTCAGGCTCTTGTTATGTTCTCTTGTCTACAGCATCTGAAATTACTTCTTGTCTTCTTGTTGCTAGATCTAAAATCTGTCCAATTTCAGGGTTGGAAATGATTGTTAATTGTTTTCAGACTATTCTGTGAGTACAGGAATAGAATCAGATAAAATGGATTTACAAGGCTGAAGAAAAAGATTTTGCTTCCTGTAATAAGAAATATTTACAGGTAAGGCTAAGACATCGGTGGACTCAATCTGGAAAATTTACCAGAAGCTTAACCTCTAACTCAGTTATTATGGAGCAACTAACAACATTCAATAATCATCAAGCAGAAAAATTATCCGTACACAAATCTAAACTTATTGATTTGAAGATAATGGTAGAGAAATCAATCAAATTGGCTGTTTAAAAACCAAATGTCTCCTAATAACTAATTACTGACCTGGGGGGGGGGGTTCTTTTTATGTTGAGATTAAAATTGCACCCATGGATAATATTAAAATACAGTGCAGAATCATGACTAGAATTGGAAAGATGTGCTAAAACAGGTATTAGAAAAGTTTCTCATAGAGAGCAGTTGTTTGGTTCCCTTTAACTTAATGAGCTTGTGAAATCTGCCACTATAATAAAATAATAGGCACAAGTTTTAGCCTTGGGGAAAATATTTAAATGCCATGATATGTCAATACTTACAAAGATTAGAACTGTGCAAGCCATAATGTTCCCTGTGACATTCTATGCAAGCAAAAGTTTGACATTAAAGAAGCAGGATAGGAAAATGCTTTTGAATTTTGGTGTTGGAGAAGATTCTTGAGAATACCATGGACAACCAAAAAAACAAACTAATGGATCATCGAAAAAATCAATCCAAGTTTCTCACTTGAGGCACAAATAACCAGGTTCAAACTGTTCTGTTTCAGATACTTTATGCAAAGACACAACTTTCTGGAAAAAGTTCTAATGCTTGGAAAGGTGGAAGAAAAGAGAAGAGCAGAACCAGCAGCAAGATGGATGGACTCACACTGGCAATGAGTGCATAATTGGGGGACTTGAAATAAAGGTTAGGGATAGATTGTCACAGAGAAAATCAATCTAGGTCACTAGGAATTGAAGATGACTTGATGGCAAATAATCAATCAAACAATCAATCGAAAGGAAGGTCAAACAAGTTCATGAATGAATAGGCTTATTCCAATGGTTTTAGCTTATTAATTCAAAGGAATCTTCATATGCAGAATCACTGATTTAGAAGTGGGACAAACAGTAACAATAATAATAATTTATTAAATCTATATGCCTCCTAGTGACTCTGGGCAGCTTACAATTGTTAAATACCCATCTTCTTTCCCACTTATGAATTTATATAAAACATCCAGCAAGTTGCTAGGTGAAGATAAGCAGACCTTAGCCTGATCCATCAAAGCAATCTCAACAGTATTAATCAATGGGGTACAGAGTTTCTCCAACTTGGAGTCAGTTGTCACAATGTCACACTCCAAAAAGTAATGGGTGAGGCTGGGACAAAAATTAACTTTGTTTTTATGTCATTTATATTTTAATTTAATTAAAATAAATCTTTATTGCTAAATAAATTTAATAAAAGTAAACCAGGTTACTCTCCACATATCTTCTAATAATTTAACATTGTTAAAAACTACAGTTTTGGTAATAGCTTCAAGAGGTTTCTGAAGGCTATACTCACATCTTTTTAAGAGCTTCAATTTGCCATTGGGCTTTCTGATTGTATAATTCTGCCTTTAAAGGTGGGAAGATTGACAAATAGAACAGATTGATACCAATTTATATTTAAGGGTGGGTTGGGTTGAAAAAGTTCATCAGAACTAAATCAACTTCATTTTTAACTTCAGAACTTCCATCTGACATAGAGAGATTTCTTCCATTTGGTAATCTCATACAAAGTGATACAAATGTCCTTAGGGTATCCATTGAGTGGGATTCTGATTAAAATGCTCACTATCTTGCAGATTTTAACTCCTCCTTTCCTGGATATCCTGGGTAGCCTTGATGGCTAGAAGAAGACATTAGCCAGAAATAAATAAAGGCCCATGAATTGCTCTATATCAGTTAAGAGAAGAAGCACTATACATATTGTAACTATCACACTTTGAAAGAAAATAATGGGGGAGAACAATCAAAAAGCAATTTTCATATCTACACATATATATATACACATACGGACCCAGTATATTACTGCTTTTGGAGGCAAGCAACATTATGCAAAGTGCAATAAAAGAAATGTCAATTAAGGGAAAGGAATTAACAATACAATCTTAGGCGCATCTACTAAGAGCAAGTATTACTGATTTCAGTGGGAGTCACTCATAACTAATGAGGATATAATTACAGCCTAAACATATGAATTTATCCTATGTTAAAGGAACCACTAGGGTGTTAAATAATGGCAGGAGTTCTCTAGGGTCTTAGGTAGGAAAAATGTTTCCCTTAAAAAAAAAAGAAAAGTGAATACCAGAAATTGAACCAGGGAGCTTTTGCAGACAAAAGCAGGCATTTCTTTCTTTGACCTCTAGCTCTTGGCTACTGGTTGAGTAGAGGAAAACAAACCATTTCAGCCTGAATTCCACAACTGAACTTTATAGTACAGATTTGATCAGTTCTAATAAGAGAAACAAACTGGTCTATCTCATAGAGCTGCTGAAAGACTTTCCAGTATGGGATCTGTGAACTCTTTAAAAAACATGTTGGGACTTATTATTTTATTATATTAGAAATTGGTATGAGCAGATCCATAAGCTGGCTTTGGGGTGAAAAAGAAGCAGAGTTAAGGTTTGGGATTCTAATTCCTTTAAACTGAAACAGGAGCAACAAGTAATTTGACAAAAGCCCTAAATCAGGCTTTTCCAACCTTGGCAACTTTTAAGACACATGGACTTCCCAGAATTTCCCAGCCAATCATGCTGTCTGGGGAATTCTGGGAATTGAGGTCCACATGTCTTGAAAGTTGCCAAACATGGGAAATCCTGTCCTAAATGATTGAGAAAAAAATGTAGCATTTCAGTAAGAGCTTATGATGTATTCTTCTAGGAATATTTTTTCTCATGTAAGGCGAATGTTCTGGACTGCCCCTAACTCACAGATGCCACTTTGCCATGAATACAGAACTAGTAAGCGATCAGATTTCTCTGAGATTATACTACAGTTCTGGCCAGATACCAATTCTTCCACTATTAACTACCAAAGACTAAGAGAAATATTTTGAATTGTGTCCAATAAGGAGACTCACCTCTGGCAAACAAAACTCAGGAACAGAGTCCACAAAGACACGGCCAGAACAGTCTTTCAGCTCCTAGGAAATGGGGTAGAAAGAAAATAGAAATTTAACTATAAGCAAACAGACCATGATGACATTCAGCACTGTGTTAATGGATAGTGTTATAACATTTTAGAAGAAAATTACAAAATAATTAACCAGTTTGTCAGATGAGGTAAATATATCCTAGGAGATGCCATTCCACTGGGCCAGTACCAATCCAAATGTTCTTCCTTAACCTGGCATTAGAGCTGAACAACACTGGACATCAGCAAAGGCTTACAAGTTAACATATGGTCCATTTTTAACCAAGGATTCTGTCTGGGCACAGTTGAAAATTACCTCTGTCTCCTTTTGCTCTGTTGTATTTTTATTCCTTGACTTTAGATTCTTGGCTTTCTCTACTAACTGAAGCCCCACTTTTCATTCACTTGGCTTTTAAAACTTGTGCTTTTAATTCCTTAGCAAAGTATGACCACATAAATATTCTAGATTCTTTGCTTTCAGGTCAATTCAAGCAGTCTGTGCCCCTTTCCTTAACATCTGGATCACTAACTGAGGCACATGCAAATAAGTTTGAAATGAAATAATGGCCACAAATGGAAAATTATACTAATTTTACCTCTGTTCAAATAGAGAAAAGTTGTGCTATGTCTCTGTATAATTCTAAAGAGAAGGGGATTTTTTGAGGATGGATTCTCCATCTATGAAATCACAGCTATCCCAGACACAACATACTATCCTGCTCTTTCAAATATCTAGCATTAGGATTTGGATTCGTTTCTTAAGAAACTCTCAACAATTTTGCCAAGTTATACACATCAGCAATTATATCTGACAGAAAGCCCTTAACCCTATCAAAAGAATTTAGAAGGTGAATAATGGGTAAGCAAGGGGAATTTCAATGCTCCAATGAACATTGGATTTAAAACAACTGTATGCCAAATGCAGCAAAGACCAACATTCTCCTTACAAAATAAGGAGTTCACCTTGAACCTCAACTCCGTTCTGTGCAGAACTAGGGAAGTAATTTGTCATTGTAAGCAAGCATAATGGTCCCTATCAAGGCTAAATCAAATTGCTCTGAAAGTCCTAATTTTAAACTTGTTTCTATGTGCCCCTTTGGATTCTGTCAAGAATCAAAGTCATTGAAGAGTCAATCGTGTGTTATGGTTAAAGTGATAGACTAGTGTTGGGAAGA